GTCGGGACAGGGACGGGTCAGGAGACACCCTCACACCCCAGGGACACAAACCAGGCATGCTGCTGCCTGCCAGGAGTGTACAACTGAGTCAGGAAGACAGACAGGAACACAAGTAGCCATGAGGGTGAGGGGACACTCCTGGGAGGTCTACAGGCTTTGGAGAAGTGAACTTTGTCCAGATTGGAAGGCTGAGGACCCTCTATTGGTAATTCCTTTCTTGTCTGTCGATTTATTTTAAAACTCTGGACAGTCTTTGGTTCTTCCAGTAGTTCTCTGGCTCAAAAGATATTCTCGCAGGAGAATTAGAGTCCTCAGGGCAGGAACAATGTGGCCTTGAGGCCCCATGTGGCTGCCACATCTGGATGGGAACATCTAATCAAAGCCCAGACTTCAAGTACCCAAGCAGGACAAGCAGTTTGAGGGCCCAGAAGGACACTTCCTAGCCAGGAGGGACTCTGGAGGTCAGAGGATCACTGTCTGCTTGTACGCAGAGGGTTCAGCCATGGGGTTGAAGGTCTGGCCAGGCTGGCCCAGCCCTCCAGTTCACGCAAGAGGCCACGTTCTCCATATACCGCTGGAGGCTCTGTTCTGGCGGTTTCCTCACTGACCAGAGCACTGTGCTGTCTGCCACAGGGAGCACCCCTGGGACCCCCTAGACCCTGCCATCTGCCAGCCAGAACCGGTGTCTATGGGAAAGGCTGACAGAGAAGGGGTGAGGGCAGGGCTCAGAACAACCCGTCCAGCTCCCTGTAGGACTGTGAGCTGCGGGGTTGCCAAAAGGGGCCCGAGCCTCCTGGCCGACTGCCCCCTCGAGCTTGGCTCCTGTCCAGTCCTGTCCTCAAAGCCAGGGAGGCAGCCCTGACAGATGGCACCAGCTCTGAGCTGTCAGTCTTCCCAGCAGGTCCCCACAGGGCAGCAGGACCAAGTGTCCTATGGGATTCGAAGGACAAAGCGCTCCCTTGCTCTCCCCTCAGCACTGGCTGACAGTCTCCCTTTGGCATACTTTCTGATGGCTTTCCCACTCTGGGTTTCAGCTTCTGCCTTGAGTTTGGAGAAATGATCCAAGCAACTGTGTGGGTGTGAACACCCTGGTCCATCCTAAGTCCAACTATTCTAGTGATGCCATAAACCACTGGTCCCCAAACTGTGTCCCAGGAACCCCTACTGGGGTTCCACAAGAAGTCAGAGCATGAAACAATAAAAAGTGCTGTGCACCCACGGGACCAATCCACGTGTGGCCTGTGCATGCAATGGAACATTACTTAGCTATATAAAAGGAAGGAAACGCTACCACATGCTACCACATGCATGAGCCTTGAAAATGGTATGCCCATGCAATGAGCTCAACAGAGAAGGAAACAAGTATTATCTGTTCCATTTCTACAAAGTACCTAGCACAGGCAAATTCATGGGAACAGAAAGTCTCCATGGGCACAGGGGGGTTACAATAAAAAGGAGTAAAAAAAAAGGGGGAGGCAGCCAAATAGCTCAGCGGATTAAAGCACCTGCAAGCAGGCACAGG